CACTGCTGGATGTGAGGATGGGAGCCACTTTGCTCTGTGAGCTGGGCCTATTCTGTGAGTACATCACTGACTTCTATTGTTTGATTCATACGGATCCATAAACATGTTTTAGTAAGAAGAACAGAGCATCAGTCATCAGACAAATTCTTGTTGACAGAAGTGACCCACTGCAATGTGTCAATGACATTAATTTTTGAGATTTTTTTCTAATATACAAAGTAAATACTGGGGAGATCATTTCCCTTTTGGAACCCAGTCTTTCATCTGTTGCCCAAAGAGGATGGACTGTACCATTTCAGGTCATGTGATCAGAGGACTCTCATGTTTTCTTATTAACATGGTTGCTTGCAGACTGGATTAGATTTTAGTGCACTGCTTCAGATCATAGTAGACATTGAAAATCTCCAAGTGTTTGAAGGAGCTTGGTAAGAAAGCGACTGGACTTTAAACCCTAGTGGGATTGTTCCTTAAGAAGGTCATTAACTCACTATTGATCATGTGCCTCAAGGAATGAGACACATCATTACCAACAGTGTTTTATTTATGTTACAATTTAGTGTCTTTAGTTTGATAATGTCTAAAGTTTCTGTCTTTATTGTAGTGCTCTGTACGCTCCTCTGCAGTGGACATGCTCAAGGTGACTGAACAGTTTTCCTTTTTCAATTTCTTCCTTTTTATTTAATAAATATTATTCTCAACCTGTATGACTCTAATGCAGATCCTATTTGTGTTTCTTTTTATTTATTTGTAACTGTATTTTCATCTTATGTGAATATAAATAAAGTATTATCAATCAATGTCTTGCCTTGAGCATTAAATAAGTGTTTCAGATTGCTAATTGTCTGTTTGTGTTGGATTCTAGATGCTGTGCTAACTATTGAACCCAACTCGTCCAGTTATTTCATTGGAGAGGTTGTTACCTTCAAGTGTGACATGAATGAAGGAAGAGACACTGACTGGTATTACACAATCAACAAGGATGGTCGAGACTATGTCCGCTACAGTGCACACAAAGACTACACATTAGAAATTAGCTCGACAGGCCACAGTGGTATATATCAGTGCTCTGGTACCTGGAAGGGGTCACATAATAGAAAGAACAGTAATACTCTCTTTATAACTGTATTAGGTAAGTCCTCAGTGATTAATAATGTGATGATTCCAGTTAATATACTCATCTGAATTATAAAAAATGTGTGTTTAATAAATGTTTCATTGAAACTATTTTATTTACGATGTATTGAAACTTTAACCATGACCATTGCATTTTACCTAACTTTGTTCACAGTACACACTACAACCAAAATACTCATGTGCATGTTTTACTGTATAACAAGAATAACTGTCGATGAAATTTAATTTAAATAATGAAAAAAAGAAACATCAAAAGCTCCATATAATTTAAGGTGACGAGGTTTCTGTTGTCTAAATGTGAAACCAGGCAGATCCCTCTGAACCCATCAGTGTGTTTCCTTTTTGTTTACATTCAGTGTGACTTCTTCAGGCCAAAGAATGGACAAACATTTGTACTGTGCTTATTTAGAGAT